TATATATATATTTGTCTGCCTTTCCATTGTATCCCCTGTGCTTGAATCCCAGTCATAATTCAAAAGGAGGGCTCCATCATGATATATTTTACTTGTATGGCCATGAAGTATCCCCTTAGAGATAACAGAGGTGTGGGTGGTCCCCTGCATTATTTCACAGATTTATTATCTCCCAAAGCAAAATACTGGATCACATTCTCGGAGCTGTGATGTAATAATGAAACGATCATAATAATAACTTACAATGATTGACTACTTACTATGAATCCCACACAGGGCTAAGTGCTTTTTAACTATGGAAAATGCTTCTTTCCTTGACTGATGCCAAAAATGAATAAAGACAATTTTCTGTATCTAATACATTAGCAATGCCCACAAATAATCTTCAGAATGATAAGAGAAAATAGCAATTTGCATAAATAAGCAATTAAAAGACTTGGAAGCATAAGGTTATTGAACAGATCCTGACACATACAGAGTGCTAAAAAAAATATTTCTTCAGTGAATGAAAGGCAACTAATGATAAGAAAGCAGAATTCACACTATATATGAAAAGACCCAGAAAGTAATAATATTAAGTGAGAAAAGTAAGGATCTAAAACATTCTTTTTTTCTGATCTCCTGTGCCTTTTTGCCTTTCGTTTCTAACCTTCTCACTCTCTTTCGGTTCTGCTTTGGAGAATGTCTACCCAGCCTGTATCCTGGAACTACCATGGAGGTACAGGGATTCCAATGGCAACCAAGGAAATGAAAGAACTCAGATTTGCTTGTGCTTTTTTTCCAGTCTTCCCTTATTATCATTCTTAGCTAGACACTCAACACAAACTGCTATCTAACAGATACATATTAATCCTATAACCCTATCTTCTGACTGCCGAGTTCTTAGAGATCAAACTGTTGTAAGAACCTTGCGAAGTCTGGCCTTTCCTCCAGCAAACCTCTGCCTGTAAGAAACGTAAGGTTCCCTGCTCAGTCTCCCTCTCCCTTTATCTTGGGCTGTAGTATCTTCCTTGTAGCTGGAATCATCATTACGAAAATTACCTGGCTTCATTAATTCTCCCATTACCTCGGGTAAGTTGGAGTGTTGACATTCTCTTTCTTTTCTTTACATTCACATGATTCTCTCTCCAAAAAGCCTGAAAATTGCTCTTAATGATAAGGATAGGAAAGGGGGCCTTTTGTGTGTACTAGGCAGAAGCCTAGCTTTCTGGAAAGGAAGTGCTTGGATGCTGCAATCTACTTACAGTAATTGGGGGAGAGGCTCTGACTGCTCCCCCATTTCAGCAAGAACAAGAACAATTCACATTCATCTTAGCATTCTTCCACCTGCGTGGCAGCTACCTGAGAATTCTCACCTGTGGCAAAAGGTGACTTTTATTCCTGCTGGGAGTGTGGCTGGGCAGCCGAATGTTAAAGAGGGCTTGGAGAGCAGCCTGTGCCGCCTGACCTTTGGCCAGCTTCTTGCTACGTCCTGAGCCTTCAAATGTCTTCCCGTCCACTCTCACTGCCATCACAAAACTCTTGGTGTTCTGCTTCTTCACCGTCTCCGAGAGGCAGACGTACCTCAGCCCGGAGCGCAGCTCATTCAGCACTACCACAGGGTTCTTCTCCCGCTGGGCAGTGGGAGCCACCCTGTGCTTGCTGGGCTTGGCTTGGCCCATCAGGTCCAACGTGTGGTAGAGTAACCGTCCTTGTCGATACGCTGTGGAGAGCAATTCAGTGTTCATGGGGCGGCAGCCTGCAAAGTCCTGACTCGGGGTGGAGGGTTCAAACTCCTTGAACAGAGTATCTGGGAAATCAGCCTGGTCGGACGTGAAGTCTGTGGATGGGCTCATGCTGTTCCCCATGGCAAAGTGAGCTTGGCAGGCATTAGGGAACTGGACAAAGGATTTCAATGCCAACTCAGCTGCCCTCATCTTGGCTTTCTTTTTGGTGGGCCCCGTGCCCTCAAAGGTAACTCCATTGACTTCCACAGCCACTGCGAAGACAGGTGCATGAACAGGACCAGTTTGGGAGACCATCTTGTACTGCAAGCCTGGCTTTAGTTCGTGGAGTTGGACCAGAGCGTTCTTTGGTGTTACTGACCACGAAAGTCTTTTCCAGATCAGCTGCAGTTTGCAGAAATGACCGCTATTTCCTTCCTCCAAAGGTCTTTTCCTTTTTATACTGGGTGCACTTGCTCTCGCCCTGTCACTGGGGGGTAGCGGTTTTGTCTCCAGGTTGCCCACATTACGGTTTTCCTTCACTTCTGCACTGCTGGTACCTGGTAGTGAAAATAAATTAGTCATGACCCAAGGCAATGGCAGGTTTTTACTAATGACAAATACAACACCATATTGTGAAACTTGAACTTCATAAATACAAAAGCCCTTACAATAAGGACAACAGAACCCAGGCCTATAAAATGAGCTGTAACAGCCTGTACCGATTTGAAGGAAGCATATTAGTGGAGAAATACGTGAAAAACAGCATTTTTTATTTCTTGGCTGGCAGAAATTATTATGCACCCTTCATGAGTTGGGGAATGACTACCTGCCAGGGACCAATTAACCATGAGGAGGAAGGACATCGACAGCCAGGAGATTTATTCTGGAGCAGTTCTTGGAGAGCTGCATTTCTGAGAAGAAAGCCGGAGGAGGTGGAAGTGGGGAGAGGCGCATCTATCCCGCTCAGCAGTTTTCCCATCTGTCACACTAAGGACTGTTGCTGTGCACTGAAGCCAGCTGCCAGTATCATTCAAACCATCCACCCAGCCCTTCCTCTCTCCCAATGCCACCCTCAACTTGCTTCTCTCCAAAAAGCAAATAAACAAGCAAAATGGCTCTTTTCTTTGTATCAGTCTTGGTCAATGTTGAAGATCAGAGGGGACTTTCCTGCCTGTGATGGGGCAAAGGAGGTAGGGTCCTCCCCATTTGCTGATGTGCCCTGTTCAGATGGGGGCGGCTTTAGGTTGTTGTGAATGAGAAGATGGGAGCTGTTAATGAGCAGAAGGGGTTGCTTTTGTGAGGAAGGTGAGGAGCTCTGCCTTGGGAGCCATCACCTTTGATTTTCTACTTCCAAACAGAGAGTCTCAAAACTCAACCTCCTTATTTTACAATCCCAAATACCAAACCCACTGCCATGGAGTCAATTCCAACCGTAGCAACCCTGGAGGACAGAGTATAATTGTTCCATAGGGTTATTGAGACTACATTTTTACAGGAGGAGAAACCCTCATCTTTCTCCCAAGGAGCTTTAGAACCTCTGACCTTGTGGTTAGTGGTCCAAAGCTTAACCCTTCACCACCAGGCCTCCTTTATTTGACAACAGAAGGTGAAAAAGATTGGCATCTACTCAGCTTACTGAACTAGGGATGACTAAGAACTGAGTCCCAGCTCAGATGCTGTAGGGTGTCTTTTCCTGTCAGGGGTCAGCCAACTACAGCCCACAGATCTATTCCTCTTGCTGCTTATTTTCGTAAATAAAATTGCTTTTGGAACACAGTCCTGCCTATTTGTTTACATACTGCTGAAGGCTGTATTTGCCCTACAGTGTCAGAGTTGAGTACTTGCAACAGAACTCACAAGGCCTCCAAAGCCTGAAGTATTTATTCTCTGGCCCTTTACAGAAAGCCCCTTGTAGCCCGTCCTGGGTGAAACAACCTGCAGCGACTGGGACATGGCTTTTATAGTTAATCTAAAAATGGGACTTCTTACTCTCTACTGTGGCACTGTAAGATAAGCACTGGACTGCTAACCATGAGGTTGGTGGTTCAAACTCACCAGCTTCACTTAACAATAACAACAAGAGCTCTGTGTCAGAATCACATGGGAGGGAAGCTTTTATAACCATCATGTGCTAAAACGTTCATCTGTCAGACACTTGGTTTTAATTGGTCTTTAGTGGGACCCCAACAAATCAGTTGCTGTGGAGTCAATTCCAATTCACAGCTCATGTATGTCAGAGTACAAGTGTGTTTGTTCCATAGGGTTTTCAAGTGCTGAATTTTCTGAAGCAAACTGTGAGAATTTTCTTCAGAGTCATCTCTGGGTGGACTTGAACCTTTTTGGTTAGCAGCTGAGTGTGTTAACTCTTTGTACCACCCAGGGACTCCTGAATGAGGCTCAGGCATTGGTAATTATAAACAGTCCTCCTGGTAATATCAACATGAGAACCACTGGTATAAATGCATGGGAAGGTCCACCTTTAGGCATCAGCCCAGAGCAGCAGTTACAGATGGAGTACGTTGCCCTTGCCTTGTCTCTTAAGTGTCAGTAGAATCTCCCCCTCTTTTTCCCCTTAATTTCTTAGGAAGAAATCACTGAAATGTTGTTTTTGCCACATTAACCAGACAGACAAAGATTTTGAAAAGACAAATAATGCCAATCACCACTTGTCTGTCAGCCGGCTTGTACTATGTGACCTGTGTATTACTGTGGTTCTGGAAGCTCTGCCACTGGTTTTTAAATACCAACAGGGTCACCTGTGGTGGATGAGTTTCAGCAGAGCTTCCAGAATAAGATAGACTAGGAAGAAGGAAAGGCGGGCTACCACTGAATGGTTAGCCATTGAAAATTATTTTATAAATAGCAGTGAAACACTGGCTGAGAGAGTGCTAGAAACTGAGCCCCTTAGGTTGGAAGATGCTCCAAATATCACTGGAGAAGAGCTGCCAACTCAAAAGAGTTGACTTTAATGATGTGAATGGAACAAAGCTTTTGGGACCTTCATTTGTTAATGGAGCAAAATTCAAACTGAGAAGAAACAGCTGTAAACATCCATTAATAATCAGAATGAGGAAAGTACAAAGTATGAACAGAGGAAAATTGGAAGTTGTCAATAATGAAGTGGAATGCATAGAAATTAATATTCTAGGGACTAGTGTGCTGAAATGGACTGATTTTGGCAATTTTGAATCAGACAATCATATGGTTTACTGTGTCAGGAACAACAAATTGAAAGGAATGTCATCACATTCATCATCAAAAAGAACATTTCAAGATCTATCTTGAAATACAATACTATCTGTGATAGGATAATATCCATGGGCCTACACAGCAGGGTTGGAGAAGATCTGGTCTTATACAGATAAGGCCCTGAAAATCATTCCCTCTGGCCCTGCCAAGGCAATTGAAGTTCCATCCATCACATTGTTGTTGTTGTTGTTGTTGTTGTTAGGTGCCATCAAGTCGGTACCAAATCATAGCGAACCTATGCACAACAGAACGAAAACACTGCCCAATCCTGGGCCAACCTCACCATTGTTGCCACGCTTGAGCCACTTTG